AAGCAAGAAACCAGCAGCCAGACACCTTTTTTAAAACACAGCCGAAACAGCAAAACACCACCTAATTTCGTACCGAAAATGACGCCAAATCAGTCGCAATAATAGGTTCCCCGGAAGCCGAAGCTAGAATTCAAACTTTCTCCAATTTGATCTCTAATTTTGATTGCTGCTGCTGCCTCTAAAAAAGCAAGATACCAGCAGCCAGACACCTTTTTTAAAACACAGCCGAAACAGCAAAACACCACCTAATTTCGTGCCGAACATGACGCAAAATCAATCACAATAATAAGTTTTCGGGGCCGAAACGTCCCTTCTGAAATCCTACTAGAAATCCAATTTTGTCCAATTTTGATCTCTAATTTTGACTGCTGCTGCTGCCTATAATAAAGTAAGAAACCAGCAGCCAGACATCTTTTTCGAAACACAGCCGAAACAGCAAAACACCACCTAATTTCGTGCCAGACATGACGCAAAATCAATCACAATAATAGGTTTTCGGGGGCCGAAACGTCCCTTCTGAAATCCTACTAGAAATTCAATTTTGTCCAATTTTGATCTCTAATTTTGATTGCTGCTGCTGCCTATAATAAAGCAAGAAACCAGCAGCCAGACCTTTTTAAAACACAGCCGAAACAGCAAAACACCACCTAATTTCGTGCCGAACATGACGCAAAATCAATCACAATAATAGGTTTTCGGGGGCCGAAACGTCCCTTCTAAAATCCTACTAGAAATCCAATTTTGTCCAATTTTGACTTCGTCCAATTTTGATGGCTGCGGCTGCTTCTATAAAAAGCAAGAAACCAGCAGTCGCAATAACAGGTTCCCCGGAAGCCGAAGCGTCCCTTCTAAAATCCTACTAGAATTCAAACTTTCTCCAATTTGATCTCTAATTTTGATTGCTGCTGCTGCCTCTAATAAAGCAAGAAACCAGCAGCCAGACACCTTTTTTAAAACACAGCCGAAACAGCAAAACACCACCTAATTTCGTGCCGAACAATCACAATAATAGGTTTTTGGGGGCCGAAACGTCCCTTCTGAAATCCTACTAGAAATCCAATTTTGTCCAATTTTGATCTCTAATTTTGACTGCTGCTGCTGCCTATAATAAAGCAAGAAACCAGCAGCCAGACACCTCTTTTAAAACACAGCCGAAACAGCAAAACACCACCTAATTTCGTTCCGAACATGACGCAAAATCAATCACAATAATAGGTTCTCGGGGGCCGAAACGTCCCTTCTGAAATCCTACATAGAAATCCAATTTTCCAATTTTGTTTAATTTTGATCTCTAATTTTGACTGCTGCTGCTGCCTATAATAAAGCAAGAAACCAGCAGCCAGACACCTTTTTTAAAACACAGCCGAAACAGTAAAACACGACCTAATTTCGTGCCGAACATGACGCAAAATCAATTACAATAATAGGTTTTCGGGGGCCGAAACGTCCCTTCTGAAATCCTACTAGAAATCCAATTTTGTCCAATTTTGATCTCTAATTTTGACTGCTGCTGCTGCCTATAATAAAGCAAGAAACCAGCAGCCAGACACCTTTTTTAATAATAAAGCAAGAAACCAGCAGCCAGACACCTTTTTTAAAACACAGCCGAAACAGCAAAACACCACCTAATTTCGTGCCGAACATGACGCAAAATCAATCACAATAATAGGTTTTCGGGGGCCGAAACGTCCCTTCTGAAATCCTACTAGAAATTCAATTTTGTCCAATTTTGACTTCGTCCAATTTTGATTGCTGCGGCTGCTTCTATAAAAAGCAAGAAACCAGCAGCCAGACATCTTTTTCGAAACACAGCCGAAACAGCAAAACACCACCTAATTTCGTGCCGAAAATGACGCAAAATCAGTCGCAATAACAGGTTCCCCGGAAGCCGAAGCGTCCCTTCTAAAATCCTACTAGAATTCAAACTTTCTCCAATTTGATCTCTAATTTTGATTGCTGCTGCTGCTGCCTCTAATAAAGCAAGAAACCAGCAGCCAGGCACCTTTTTTAAAACACAGCCGAAACAGCAAAACACCACCTAATTTCGTGCCGAACATGACGCAAAATCAATCACAATAATAGGTTTTCGGGGGCCGAAACGTCCCTTCTGAAATCCTACATAGAAATCCAATTTTCCAATTTTGTCCAATTTTGATCTCTAATTTTGACTGCTGCTGCTGCCTATAATAGCAAGAAACCAGCAGCCAGACACCTGTTTTAAAACACAGCCGAAACAGCAAACACCACCTAATTTCGTGCCGAACATGACGCAAAATCAATCACAATAATAGGTTTTCGGGGGCCGAAACGTCCCTTCTGAAATCCTACTAGAAATACTAGAAATTCAATTTTGTCCAATTTTGATCTCTAATTTTGACTGCTGCTGCTGCCTATAATAAAGCAAGAAACCAGCAGCCAGACACCTTTTTTAAAACACAGCCGAAACAGTAAAACACCACCTAATTTCGTGCCGAACATGACGCAAAATCAATCACAATAATAGGTTTTCGGGGGCCGAAACGTCCCTTCTGAAATCCTACTAGAAATTCAATTTTGTCTAATTTTGATCTCTAATTTTGATTGCTGCTGCTGCCTATACTAAAGCAAGAAACCAGCAGCCAGACACCTTTTTTAAAACACAGCCGAAACAGCAAAACACCACCTAATTTCGTGCCGAACATGACGCAAAATCAATCACAATAATAGCTTTTCGGGGGCCGAAACGTCCCTTCTAAAATCCTACTAGAAATCCAATTTTGTCCAATTTTGATTTCATCCAATCGTCGTAGTAGTAGTAGTAGTAGTAGTAGTAGTAGTAGTAGGAGTCGTAGTAGTGCAATACATCCTTTTCCCTTACGCGCTCCCCCTTGCGTCGGCCGGGGTCGGCGGATATGTTTATAATTGTTTTGTAGCAGAATACTGCAACATCCTTTGGGAACATCTCTGGGAGGGTCACACTTTCGTGGGAAGGAAGTGCAGGCAGCTGACTTCGTTCTGTGTGTCCAACATCTTTCTTTGGCCAAAGGGAATCACTAGGGCCATGCTTTCAAAATTAGTGCGACGAAGTTTGTCAATTCACAGCTGCTTGATCTTCAAACAAGGCGTCGCATGAATTGATGGGGAAAATGGGATGGTCCTGACAGGATGTGGCGCAGCTCATTAAGGAGCCAGGGCGAGGCTTTCTGGACAGTTAACCCAGGAAGAGACAGGTGATGGAGTGAAGGTTGGAATGGTTGCTTAAAGATTTGTCAAGCTATGGTACAGCAGTTCCTTGGAAACCTTTGGAAGCCTTTGGAAACGTTTGGAACCTTCGGAAACATTTGGAAACCTTTGGACATTTTTTGGAAACCGTTGGAAACCTTTGGAAACATTTGGAAACCTTTGGAAAGGAAACCTTTGGACACCTTGATTTCTCGAGATTTCTTGATATTCCCCGCTGGTGAGAAGTCCTGCTTGTTCGGTCAAGCGTTGATCCGTAGGACTTGAAAAATGCCAACCCTTCGGCCCGAATCTCCGTGAAACTCGTGGCCCGAATTGGCATTGGCGTCATTGCATCAGGTGGGGCGAGGGTTCGGACCAGTCACAGGAATCTGGGATATCTGATTTTTAATTCTTCCGATTATGGATAATGATGATGGATAATGGAGGCTGACTGAGGGACAAACAACTGATGTTCTGAGACTCTGGGTTGTAATAAGATCACTGACGCAGCCATTGTTTGTTCGAAGTTGTAGGAAAGTAGAAATGCGTCGGTGAGGAAATCAGGTTGTACGGGCATGGCTTGTGCAAGAGCTTCTTGAATACAACATGGAAGTCTTGGAAGATCAAAACCAGAGTGACTGACTGTTCTGACTATGACTCAAAATCATCGACTGCTCAAATTAGATCTTTCATGACGCAAAAACATCGAAATTGTGGGTCTCTTGGTGCCCTATTTGATCGATAGCTGCATTCTGGGTGCCCTGTTGATTCCAGTGCCCCAGGTGTTGTGAAGGGTAAGGCTGACCACCTGACCATCAGTGGAATGTCGGGTGGAACTGGTGCTGCCAAGTGGGGCTCCATCAAGCACTGTGGCAACTCGGCAGCGGGAAGCAGTGGGAAGCAGTGGCAAGCAGTGGGAAGCTGTGACCAATCCATGGGGACAATCATGGTCACTGCGACGGAAGATCTTTCGACACCTTAGTAGATCTTCGTAGAATGTTGGCTCATTGAACCAAGTCTGACCAGTCTCATTCCCTAGAATCATACTGCCAGATATTGCCAGCATCCTCACGTGCAAAGCTACTTAGGCCTTCCCTGGGAGATTGGCCTTGCCGAGACCCATCAGACCCTGGTGCTGAACGGTTTGAGGCGAGCTGTTTTTCCTTGGTGGATCGTTCCCTTCCTCGAGATCCGTTGGAAGTTTGGTGGAGAGTTTCGTGTGGGGAAGGTTGCTATTCTATGCGATTCCAGTATCATCACAAGGTGTAAGTAGCTCAAGGAACTCCGATGGGAAAGAGGGACTCAGAGACACTGCACGATCGGCTCATGTTGGGTCCTTCTCAAACTGCATCGAAGTTTCCATAATTTATCTTCTGATCTCATTGGACCCCATTCCAGCCGCAGGAACCGTGTGACCCTTCAGACCGATGGCCAAGTGCGAACGGGTCGTGATGTTGTGATTGCCGCCATGCTGGGGGCGGAGGCTGGGAATCGGGGTCCATCCAAATCCCAAGTAATCTTCGGAGGGTCAAAGCATCTCAAATTCACCTTCATCCAGCAAGAGGACCTAACATTTGTAACATGGTCAGCTATCAAAGACCTTGGATGACCTTGGTATCATCTTTGATCACCTTGCCTCTGACAATTCTGAAGCAGTCCCAGCGAGGAGATTGCAATGACAACGGCTCCACTGATCACCTTGGGATGCATCATGATGAGAAGCTTGGAATATCTTGGAAGAAAATCTACTTTGACTGCAACAGTGCAACTGAATTGAAGTTCTTAGAAGTTCTTTGCCGCTTTTCCCTCCCTGCCCAGGAAAGTGCCACTTGAACACATGCCCTGTGGGTGTTGCGACCCAGGACCAGAGGGGAGAGTTGGATCCAGCTTTTCCTGGAACCCTTGTTTTCTTGTTTGCTTTTGTGCAGTATCTAGGACCAAGGATATTTGTATGTGTTTGTTGATTCAATTTTCTGCTATGGAAAAGGCGCATCTGAAAAGAACAGAGGATATGGGCACAGGCAGTTTGAACATATATATTCAATATATTTCAATATTTGAACAAGAATATGAGCCTGTCACCGCGTGGCTAGTGCCGGGAAGCAGGATCCAGAGCTCCGACAGAAATTCACGGGTCAACCAGAGCACCTGATCAACTTCCTCTTCATGGTGGCTGAGGACTTGTTTCTTCTCTTGTTGCTGTTGCTGGCTGTTGCTGTTGGATTACTACATCCTTTAATGGTTGGGCAGGAAGCACGTGAGATCATGGCATCTCTGGGTATCAAGAAGTTCACTGAACTCATCGGCCGCACAGACTTGTTGAGGCCCGGCATGGGGAGATTTATAAATTCTATCCAGCATGGTTTGGATATGTTTGGATAGAATTTTCAAATCTGACAGCCATCCTAGAATCCATTGAGCGTAGAACATAGATGATGGATGATCTCATGGATTTGATTCTTACCATCCATTGTCAATCTCCACAGTTCACAGCGCAAAACAGTCTAGTTGGCAGAGGTGATGTCTGGTGTCGGGTGTCCGGTGGTGTCTGGGACTTGGCATTTTCGCATTTTCCAGAGTGGAGCCGCTGCCATGGCCTGGTGCGGCTCATGCCTTGAGCCCTTCGGGGCCGTGACTTTTGCAAACTTCACGGGTGTCTCAACGGTGCAAAAAAAGCACGTTCTTTTCTTTTGGCTCCATAACGATAGAGTTGCAAGGTTAGATGAAAGTGCAAAAACATACTTGATGTCTCCTTGGCTGACAAGGAGATGGTGACAGTTACGGAGAAGCACAAACAATTTATACAGGGGGTGATGTTTTGTCTTTCTTGGTTTGTGGACATGATAGCGACATCTTCAAGCTTGGGTTCGCTCCGCTTTGCAATGGTTGCTGGATGTGTTTGCTGGTATATACTTGCATAGGTTAAGATTCAACCCTGAGACTGGAGGGATTGGGAGGGAAGGCCACCGTTTGTGTAGAGCTGGTCGGGTGGTCGGGTAGAGTCCTTGAGGCAAACGTGCAATGTATATGAGTGTATGACAGCAAGGCAAATGATAGCACTTGTAGCACTTGTAGAGAATGAAGCTGCTTCATGCACTCTTTTGCAAGTGAGTCGCTAGAAGATAGGTGCAAATGCTGCACTCGTCATGGGGAAGCCATTGTTTAATGGGCTAGCAAGTCCAAAGACTTGTAATCCTGCAGGAAAGTTGAAGAAGGGAATCCTCTGCGAGTGCCTATGTGCAACATGCTGCAGAATAGGGCAGAGAAAGCAATTGCCTGCAGACTGAGACTCTTCGACTTTTCTGTTTGCTTTGAGTTTGCTTACGCTCGTTGCTGCTTTGGCAAGCTTGATTCATGACATTCATGCGTGTTGTTTGTCCTTGCAACTCTGCGTTCGCACCATGTTTGAAGGCTTTTTGTCAATGCTGGCTCGTGAGGACAGAGTTCCAAGTAGATGTGATGATGAGATGGTTTGCGCCAACCCTGCGACTTAAGGCATGAGGCACCCAAGCAAAGCCTAGAGTCTGTGTACTGTTGGCCGGGTACTGGCGCTTGGGTTGTTTCGTGTCCTTGGGGCCAACGCACTGCTGTGAAGCTTCACAGCAGTGTATGACAGCAAGGCCAATGGGCTAATGCGCTTGCTGGGGACGAGGGGACGAAGGCATAGCACTCTGGGTCGTATGACTCGGACCTATGCTTGGAGCACCCAAAATAGGGGAGGCCGAAGTACTCGCATCGTTGCTGCTCCTAAAAGTGTATTTGAATGGATTCATAAACATTTGCTGACTGTGGAGAGTGCAAGCTATCGATAGCAACGTCTTCAAGCTTGGGTCAGCTCCATTTGGCCATGGTTGCTGGATGTTGCTGGCATATACTTGCATAGATTAAGATTCAACCCTGAGACTTGAGGGATCGGAGGGAAGGCCACGGTCTGTGTACAGCGGAAGTGAGTCGCTAGAAGATAGGTGCAAATGCTGCACTCGTTATGGGGAAGCCATTGTTTAATGGGCTAGCAAGTCCAAAGACTTGTAATCCTGCAGGAAAGTTGAAGAAGGGAATCCTCTGCGAGTGCCTATGTACAACATGCTGCAGAATAGGGCAGAGAAAGCAATTGCCTGCAGACTGAGACTCTTCGACTTTTCTGTTTGCTTTGAGTTTGCTTACGCTTGTTGCTGCTTTGGCAAGCTTGATTCATGACATTCATGCGTGTTGTTTGTCCTTGCAACTCTGCGTTCGCACCATGTTTGAAGGCTTTTTGTCAATGCTGGCTCGTGAGAACAGAGTTCCAAGTAGATGTGATGATGAGATGGTTTGCGCCAACCCTGCGACTTAAGGCATGAGGCACCCAAGCAAAGCCTAGAGTCTGTGTACTGTTGGCCGGGTACTGGCGCTTGGGTTGTTTCGTGTCCTTGGGGCCAACGCACTGCTGTGAAGCTTCACAGCAGTGTATGACAGCAAGGCCAATGGGCTAATGCGCTTGCTGGGGACGAGGGGACGAAGGCATAGCACTCTGGGTCGTATGACTCGGACCTATGCTTGGAGCACCCAAAATAGGGGAGGCCGAAGTACTCGCATCGTTGCTGCTCCTAAAAGTGTATTTGAATGGATTCATAAACATTTGCTGACTGTGGAGAGTGCAAGCTATCGATAGCAACGTCTTCAAGCTTGGGTCAGCTCCATTTGGCCATGGTTGCTGGATGTTGCTGGCATATACTTGCATAGATTAAGATTCAACCCTGAGACTTGAGGGATCGGAGGGAAAGCCACGGTCTGTGTACAGCGGAAGTGAGTCGCTAGAAGATAGGTGCAAATGCTGCACTCGTCATGGGGAAGCCATTGTTTAATGGGCTAGCAAGTCCAAAGACTTGTAATCCTGCAGGAAAGTTGAAGAAGGGAATCCTCTGCGAGTGCCTATGTACAACATGCTGCAGAATAGGGCAGAGAAAGCAATTGCCTGCAGACTGAGACTCTTCGACTTTTCTGTTTGCTTTGAGTTTGCTTACGCTTGTTGCTGCTTTGGCAAGCTTGATTCATGACATTCATGCGTGTTGTTTGTCCTTGCAACTCTGCGTTCGCACCATGTTTGAAGGCTTTTTGTCAATGCTGGCTCGTGAGAACAGAGTTCCAAGTAGATGTGATGATGAGATGGTTTGCGCCAACCCTGCGACTTAAGGCATGAGGCACCCAAGCAAAGCCTAGAGTCTGTGTACTGTTGGCCGGGTACTGGCGCTTGGGTTGTTTCGTGTCCTTGGGGCCAACGCACTGCTGTGAAGCTTCACAGCAGTGTATGACAGCAAGGCCAATGGGCTAACGCGCTTGCTGGGGACGAGGGGACGAAGGCATAGCACTCTGGGTCGTATGACTCGGACCTATGCTTGGAGCACCCAAAATAGGGGAGGCCGAAGTACTCGCATCGTTGCTGCTCCTAAAAGTGTATTTGAATGGATTCATAAACATTTGCTGACTGTGGAGAGTGCAAGCTATCGATAGCAACGTCTTCAAGCTTGGGTCAGCTCCATTTGGCCATGGTTGCTGGATGTTGCTGGCATATACTTGCATAGATTAAGATTCAACCCTGAGACTTGAGGGATCGGAGGGATGGCCACGGTCTGTGTACAGCGGAAGTGAGTCGCTAGAAGATAGGTGCAAATGCTGCACTCGTCATGGGGAAGCCATTGTTTAATGGGCTAGCAAGTCCAAAGACTTGTAATCCTGCAGGAAAGTTGAAGAAGGGAATCCTCTGCGAGTGCCTATGTACAACATGCTGCAGAATAGGGCAGAGAAAGCAATTGCCTGCAGACTGAGACTCTTCGACTTTTCTGTTTGCTTTGAGTTTGCTTACGCTTGTTGCTGCTTTGGCAAGCTTGATTCATGACATTCATGCGTGTTGTCTGTCCTTGCAACTCTGCGTTCGCACCATGTTTGAAGGCTTTTTGTCAATGCTGGCTCGTGAGAACAGAGTTCCAAGTAGATGTGATGATGAGATGGTTTGCGCCAACCCTGCGACTTAAGGCATGAGGCACCCAAGCAAAGCCTAGAGTCTGTGTACTGTTGGCCGGGTACTGGCGCTTGGGTTGTTTCGTGTCCTTGGGGCCAACGCACTGCTGTGAAGCTTCACATGGGCTAACGCGCTTGCTGGGGACAAGGGCATGGCACTCTGGGTTGTATGGTTCGGGAAGCTGAAGTATTGGCATGATCTCGCATGCACAAAGGAGTACAGCAGCCTTGCTGTTCTTGAAAGTAGACAACATTCAGCATGGGAGCCATGAGGCCCAAGGGCTATTTGAAGGACAATCCCAAGACTGCGGACTTGGTGCCTCAATTTGCATTAAGCGACATGATCTCTTGGTATTGTCATAGAGTCGATGGAATAATCCTTTTTTTGACTCTTTGCCAGTTTGTTTTGGAACCTCTGGTTCAACATTGAGAGAAACTGCCTGTTTGAAGCCTGTTGAACTGGATTTCTCTTATTCTCTCCTGTCAGACATGCAAATTAACCCGATCTCTGCATGCTGGTGCCCGAAAGTGGGCGTTGCGTGTTCGCTTGCTCTATATTTGTGGCTGTGCTCCAAATCGAGGACTTTGCAGATCTGCTGAAACCTGCTTGGACCATGGAGTCCATGATGGGAAACATGGCTGCACCTGGTTGGACCTGAGCTGTTATTGCATGTTATTGCATGTTATTGGCAACATTGACCTAGTGACTACTAGAGACTGCTGTGTAAGCCAGGAGAGTAGGAGTTGCTCTTGCAATATGGTTTTCTGATGTTTTCTGGACAGCAGCGGCTCCTTAAAGTTTACACTTCAACAAACACGTAGCAGGGAAGCAAACTCTTGCCTACAATACACCTCTCAAAGAACGAGTTCAGATATGGGCATATGGGTTTGTCTGAAAATAGGGTACTCCATTCCACTGCATAATCATTATTTTCCAGTTATTTTCCTTCGCAAGTCAAAAAATTGGCCAGATTGTACTAGCTTTTCTATTGCGCCGAGCGCGACTCAGCGTCGCCTCAGCGTCGACTCTGCAGGCAATTCGGCAGACAATCCCATGTACTGTTGCGAGCCTCAGGAGCTGCCAGTTCGAAGCTGCAAATGGATTCCTGGGTCTTGCCAAAAGCATCATAAATATGCCATGTGAATTCATGTGAGCTGAGGATGTCAAAGCATGATATATCACGAGATTTCCACTGATTCTCCTGCAACTCAGGATATTCACCATGCAGATATGTCAGAGATGTCAGGTGTGTTGGGCAATGATAGGTACTGATAGGTACATATCACCCTGGCACCATGGTATCGCCATGGTATGAACGAGGACCATGAGTTGGCCCATGCCTTGGACCAGAGCTTGGTGAGTCGCTGCTCCAGCGTCCTCACTGACTCCTCCAACAGCAAGGCTGCCCTTGACATGAAATTCATATTGAACATATGTGAAAACTATTGAAACATCAACAACACATTAATGAAACATCAATGACACATCAATTTATCAATCTGAATAGTGAAGCACGATGAATCGAATACGAAACATACATATTTGAATCATATCGACATAAGTTTGCGTATCCGTATATATATATATATGACAATATATATGTATATGTATATGTATATGTATATATGTATATATGTATATATATATATATGTATATATGTATATATGTATATATGTATATATGTATATATGTATATGTATATATGTATATGTATATGTATATGTATATGTATATGTATATGTATATGTATATGTATATGTATATGTATATGTATGTATGTATATATGTATATATGTATATATGTATATGTATATGTATATCTATATCTATATGTATATGTATATGTATATGTATATGTATTACATGTATATATGTATATATGTATATATGTATATATATATGTATATGTATATATGTATATATGTATATATGTATATATGTATATATGTATATATGTATATATGTATATATGTATATATATATATATGTGTGTATATGTATATGTATATATATATATGTGTATATGTGTATATGTGTATATGTGTATATGTGTATATGTGTATATGTATATGTATATGTGTATGTATGTAAAGAAAACTGAGCACGACTGGTGGTTTGGCCCAGCGTCATCTCGGAGGTGCGGTTGAAGGGCGTTCCAATCAACAACGTGGACCGCTCCGTGGGCGGAATCCTCAGCTTTGAGGCCGGGCCCATCGGTCAACACCAGATATTGTGTTCACCTTGGGTATATCGGTACATATCGGTACATCCAAACATTTTGGAGCCCAAATCTGTAGATTTTTGTGTTTTCTTGTTTTCTTTTTTCTGTTTCCCTTACCAGTGACTAAAGATCAACCAAAGTTTGGGGTGTATAATCAAAGCATTTTCAGACCACAAGCGGTGCTTAGATTGCCCTGCAGGTCAGCAAGAAGTTCGGGGCAAAAGGATTGCCAGAGGCCCATTTGAATATGTGCATCTTGAACCTACAAGAAAAAAATGGTTATCTTGCACTGACAGCAGAGCTCTATTCGCCAGAATGTGTCAATGCATATTGTGTGTGTGTGTTTGCGCAATTCGGTCGGCGCAATTATTGCCTCAACTGGAACTGCTTGGTAAATTGTCATCAAGCCCATCTCAGAGTTGGTTGATCCCCAAAAGGCTTGTTGAGTCTTGGTGCGCAATATTTCCGTGATTGTGCATCACTGTTCCCCTGAAATGGTCTTACATATGGGATATGGGTGTAGCACAGCTGTTTGGCGTTTGACGATTCAGTGACTTTGGTTTCAGGGTTCCCTGCACATCAACTTCATTGGCAGCTCGGGTCAGTCCTTTGGAAATTTCTTGGCCCCAGGCTGGAAAAAGCGGTCGGTCAAGTTTCGAGGATTTTCGAAGATTATGGGCTTGTGAAAACTTCAGATCAAAAAGTACTCCTGCACAAGCCTTCCTGCTCCCGACTTGCCCCTCAAAAGAATAGTATGGAAATGACTCCTCATTCCACTGGCAGCCAAGCATGGGCAGGCATCACCTTCGAGCTGGAGGGCGATGCAAACGACTACATTGGAAAAGGTCTCAGCGGAGGAACCATTGTGGTGTACAAGCCCAAAGAGGTGCGGCTGGACATGGGAAATCTTTGGCTCGAAGAGGATTTAGAAATTTTTGAAGATTCTGACGATCCGTATAATTGGACGATCTGCAGATTGCCAGTCATATTTTGATGAAGTGCCTGGCCTCTTGCAGTGATTTGACTATCAAATACCCGCATTGGATGAATGTCTGCATCATTCTGAGAGCATGAAGCGAGGCATCCTACAACTCTGAGAGTGCCATCATCGCTGGCAATGCCGCGTTATATGGTGCGACTGACGGCAAGGCTGCGTTGCAAGAAGAACAGCATAAGGGGTAGAGGAGACAGGAACCTGGATCCAGCTCATCTGGGGAAATGCTGGAGGTAGCTTCTGTAATTAGTTTTGAAAAGGGATCCCAAACTGCTGCAGGTTTCCTGCACTGTTGCAGGTGGCAAGAGCCCAAAATTGCTTACAATTCTTGCAATGCTCACTCTTCCTGTTTGGACCTGTTCCCCTTTTCAGTTCGGTTCAACCCAATACAGCTAATACAAGTCACAGTTCGAGCAGTGGATTCCCAGCAGCCGGATCCAGCTGGAGGCCTTCTTCGGCGGCATCGCAGCAGAGCGTTTCGCGGTGCGAAACTCTGGCGCGACAGCGGTCTGTGAGGGCGTTGGTGACCACGGCTGCGAGTACATGACACGAGGCGCGGTTGCGGCAGGTTGCGGGGCATTGCCATGCAGGAACGTGCCGCAGACTGGGTGCCGCAGAGAAGATAGCTGTTGCGTTGCAATTGTACGCCTTCAATTCTTTGAGCAGAATACCAAGAGACACAACAGCGTCCTCAGCCTGCAGAGTTTCGTTCTTTCAGATACAAGAGATGGGATTGTTAAACAACAAAATAAGGAGATGCCCAATCTTCCCACCTGGTTTAAACGGAGAGGCACACCCTACTGCCAGGCACTGTTATCGTCCTCGGCCAGATGGGACAGAACTTTGCCGCTGGCATGAGCGGCGGAGTGGCCTATGTGTTGGATTTGGAAGAGATGCTTGGTAGTGAAAAGTTCATCTCCACCACTGTACAGGGCTGCATTGAAAAGGAGGGAGCTATTGCAGAGTGGTTGCAGAAACGATTTCGGTGAAACGTCAAGGTCCTGTTGCGGATTTCCCAAGTGCATCTGAGGAAGCTTTGCAATGCCTCAGGGGTGCACCTTGAGAAGATTGAGGAAGAGGAGGACACCGTGGATGTTTGGAGATATCACCCCATGGATTTGTCATGTAATTTGTTTTTCCAAACTACTCTCACACTAAAAAGCAGAGTGTTTTGATCATGGATGGTCCGTGACCAGAATGCTGGTGAAATCCACAGGACGACCTTGCTGAAAAACCTGATCTCAGAGCATGCTCAGCTGACAGGCGCAATGGGTTTTCCAAAGGCCAGGTGCTTATGGATATGATTCTATATATATAATTATATATATATTTAAGGGCTGCCGCCCCTGCCGCCGACCCCGGAAGAATCGGCAAGGAAGCAAACTAAATTCTGAGGCTTTCGATCTTTTTCCTATGTATATTGTTGTGAACTATATTTGATAGGTTTGATTTTTCATTTGTAAATGGGTTTTTCATTTGGGTGCATGTTGATATTATGATCCTATGGTTTTATGCGTTCACGGATCTAAGTAACTGTATAATAGTTAGATAATATATACATATATATATATATCTATACGATAGTTTTGGCCCTATTATTATGCAGCTAGTGTTGCGCCTCACAGGTGCATGGTTGCGCCGCACAGGTGCATGATAGTTTATCAAAGTATACGGGGACCTTGTTTTTTTGGATCCTCCGGACGGGGAAACAGCATGGCAGTGAAGGACGGAGAAGGCGGAAAAAAGGCGGCGAAAAACTGCCTAACGTAACTTCTGAAACCCATAGAAGATGAGGATTTCTAAGCTAGTTGTCCCGCTCCAAAACGCGGTTCTTGGTCGAGGAAAGACCGCGCAAAACCACAGCCCCCGGACAAGGAAACACCATGGCAGTGAAGGGCGGAGAAGGCGCAAAAAAGGCGGCGAAAAAGTGCCTAACGTAACTTCTGAAACCCATAGAGAATGAGGAGATTTCTGAGCTACTTGTCCCGCTCCAAAACGCGGTTCTTGGGCGAGGAAAGACCGCGCAAAACCACAGCCCCCGGACGGGGAAACACCATGGCAGTTTGCAGCTGCATCTGCTGCTGCTGCTTCTGGTGGTGGTGATGCTGCTACTGGCGCCTGCTGATGCTGCTGCTGCTGCTCCTGTCGTGCCATGAACCAGGCGCGCTCCCCCTGCGAAAAGTAGCCATCTTCTAGCTTTCCAAGCTCAGAAACGGCGTCTCCGCCATGCCCAAACAGCAGGGCCCTGAAGGACGGACCGGGCCTGCCGACAACGGCCCCAACTGCCTAACGTTGCTTTCTGAAATTACACGAAAAGTAGCCATCTTCTAGCTTTCCAAGCTCAGAAACGGCGCCTCCGCCACGACCAAACAGCAGGGCCCTGAAGGACGGAGAAGGCGGAAAAAAGGCGGCGAAAAACTGCCTAACGTAACTTCTGAAACCCATAGAAAATGAAGATTTCTGAGCTACTTGTCCCGCTCCAAAACGCGGTTCTTGGGCGAGGAAAGACCGCGCAAAACCATAGCCCCCGGACGAAGAAACACCATGGCAGTGAAGGACGGAGAAGGCGCAAAAAAGGCGGCGAAAAAGTGCCTAACGTAACTTCTGAAACCCATAGAAAATGAGGATATTTCTGAGCTACTTGTCCCGCTCCAAAACGCGGTTCTTGGGCGAGGAAAGACCGCGCAAAACCACAGCCCCCGGACAAGGAGGAGGGGAAACACCATGGCAGTTAGTGAAGGGAGGAGAAGAGAAGGCGCAAAAAAGGCGGCGAAAAAGTGCCTAACGTAACTTCTGAAACCCATAGAAAATGAGGAGATTTCTGAGCTACTTGTCCCGCTCCAAAACGCGGTTCTTGGGCGAGGAAAGACCGCGCAAAACCACAGCCCCCGGACGGGGAAACACCATGGCAGTTTGCAGCTGCATCTGCTGCTGCTGCTTCTGGTGGTGGTGATGCTGGTACTGGCGCCTGCTGATGCTGTGCCGTGCCATGAACCAGCCTCCAAAGCAAGAAACCAACAGCCAGACATTTTTTTCGAAAACGTTGCTTCTGAAACCCTAGGAAAAAAAGATTCAAAAGTATTATTCCCTGGCGCGCTCCCCCTTCGAAAAGTAGCCATCTTCTAGCTTTCCAAGCTCAGAAACGGCGCCTCCGCCACGCCCAAACAGCAGGGCCCTGAAGGACGGAGAAGGCGGAAAAAAGGCGGCGAAAAACTGCCTAACGTAACTTCTGAAACCCATAGAAAATGAGGAGATTTCTGAGCTACTTGTCCCGCTCCAAAACGCCGTTCTTGGGCGAGGAAAGACCGCGCAAAACCACAGCCCCCGGACGGGGAAACAGCATGGCAGTGAAGGACGGAGAAGGCGGAAAAAAGGCGGCGAAAAACTGCCTAACGTAACTTCTGAAACCCATAGAAAATGAGGATTTCTAAGCTACTTGTCCCGCTCCAAAACGCGGTTCTTGGGCGAGGAAAGACCGCGCAAAACCACAGCCCCCGGACAAGGAAACACCATGGCAGTGAACGACGGAGAAGGCGCAAAAAAGGCAGCGAAAAAGTGCCTAACGTAACTTCTGAAACCTATAGAAAATGAGGAGATTTCTGAGCTATACTTGTCCCGCTCCAAAACGCGGTTCTTGGGCGAGGAAAGACCGCGCAAAACCACAGCCCCCGGACGGGGAAACACCATGGCAGTTTGCAGCTGCATCTGCTGCTGCTGCTGCTTCTGGTGGTAGTGATGCTGGTACTGGCGCCTGCTGATGCTGCTGCTGCTGCTCCTGCCGTGCCATGAACCAGGCGCGCTCCCCCTGCGAAAAGCAGCCATCTTCTAGCTTTCCAAGCTCAGAAACGGCGCCTCCGCCACGCCCAAACAGCAGGGCGCTGAAGGACGGAGAAGGCGGAAAAAAGGCGGCGAAAAAGTGCCTAACGTAACTTCTGACACACATAGAAAATGAAGATTTCTGAGCTACTTGTCCCGCTCCAAAACGCGGTTCTTGGGCGAGGAAAGACCGCGCAAAACCACAGCCCCCGGCCTTGTCAAGAGTGTGGGGGAGATGAAACGCAAAGACGCATTCACCAAAGCACAGTGGAAACAAGACATCTATCGGGTCTGCAAAGAATGCACTGCGCCGGCACGCCATATCGATGCACACAGTGCGGCCTGTGGCACGCCGCAGCACACTTTGCGTCAAAGCATCACAACCCGCGGTGGAGTCTTTACAGAGTTTGCATGTCGTGTGATGCAGTGAAACAATGTTTCTCTTGCACAAAGAAGCTCACAAAAGAATATTTCACGGTGCCAGCATGGAAAGCAAGCAAGCCAGAGAGGAGGCTATGCCTACATTGTCAAAAGCAAGGAAAATGGACATGTGCACGCTGCCACCAAAAATTACCTACGCTGCAATTCTCCCATTATAACAAAATGCGCCCGGGCGGTGGTCAAAATGGCAGGCAAACTTGCAATGCTTGCCGTGCTATTGTCGTGCAAGCGAATGTGCGTAAGCGAGCTGCGAAGTCTAGCATACAACGTCTGCAATCTGTCCGTGAGACGCTGCGCCGTCGACAAATTCTCCGCGAGACATGGGAAGCAATCGGAGACCACAGAAAAAAACACAAACGCTGCGCGAGGACGAGCGAAAAAGAAGCCACAAATCAAGTTGCTACTGAGAAAGAAATAGATCAAGCCTTGCAAGTACCTCTTGCAACACCACAGCAGGAGCTTTATGTGTACACATGCCCTTTTTGCCAAGGTTCAGTTACTACGTCAACTGCTTCCGGACATATCAACCACCGACGCGTGTGTGGAAAACAGTTTCGCGTGCAAGATGGGCTTCTCCGGCCGACGCTGCCTACGATCCGCTATTCGCACACATGCCCGACTTGTGGGACCTGCGTGCAGAGCACCAAGAAATTTGGGCGAATCCAAAGCAAACACAAACAACCCAGTGGCCGCATGTGCCGCCTAACGCAATGGCACGCAAGCTGACAACAAACGACCAGTTGCAGTACTTTCTTGTCTGCCAAGGTACATCTTTTATATTCTTTTATATTCTTTTATATTCTTTTATTAACAGCTGCTGTGTTGCTTGTGGCAATTGCGGCCCGCCCACATGTGAATCCAGGCCCGCACCAGCAAAAAGGCTATAACGTATCTTCTCGAACTCTAGAATAATTCCGAAAAAATGCCTGAGGTGAGTTCTGCAACGTTACAAGAGCAGCATGTTTCAACACATTGTTCCTGCTGCTGCTGCTGCTGCGAAAACAACAGCTCCCGGCATCTCCCCGTAACAAAACAGACTGGCACTAAAGGACCACCACAAACAGCATTTTTTGCGGAAAGTTCTGTTGCAGCTGCTACTGCTGCTGCTGCTGCTGCCGCTGCTACTGCCACGGCCGCTGCTCTGGCTGCTGCCGCAGCTCCCGGCAGCAAAACACCATGGCCCTAAAGGACGAACCGAGTCCAAAATGTGCGTTTCTTACTGCTACTGCTGCTGTTGGAGTCACTGCTGCCGCTGCTACTGCCACGGCTGCTGCTCTGGCTGCTGCTGCAGCTCCCGGCAGCAAAACACCATGGCCCTAAAGGACGAACCGAGTCCAAAATATACGTCCTGCGGTCGGAACGTCCCTTCTGAAATCCTACAAAAAGCTTTCTGCTGGTGCGGAAAGTTATTATAATCAGTTTTTTACCTTACTGCTACTGCGGCTGCTGGACTCACTGCTGCCGCTGCTACTGCCACCACCGCTGCTGTGGCTGCTGCTGCAGCTCCCGGCAGCAAAACACCATGGCCCTAAAGGACGAACCAAGTCCAAAATGCACGTTTTCCGGGGCCGAAACGTCCCTTCTGAAATCCTACAAAAAGCTTGCCGCTGCTACTGCCACGGCCGCTGCCCTGGCTGCTGCCGCAGCTCCCGGCAGCGAAACACCATGGCCCTAAAGGACGGACCGAGTCCAAAATGTGCGTTTCTTATTGCTACTCCTGCTGTTGGAGTCACTGCTGCCGCTGCTACTGCCACGGCTGCTGCTCTGGATGCTGCTGCAGCTCCCGGCAGCAAAACACCATGG